AAAATTGCGAAATTAAAAATTTTTTTTTATGCCGCAGTAAGTATATAGCCAATCAAATCACGCCATTATATAATATGTGAAATTGATTTTAACAAAAATTAAAAGTAATTTTTTATTATAAAGATATATATATACTTAAAATAAATCTATAAGTACTTTATTTATTACGCAGTTTTGCGTTGTTTATCTTTTTTATTAGCTCTTGGATGCTGTTTGTAACGTTTTTTTTGGTAAAGCCTTTCCACCACACCCAACGCACAATGGCCGTTCACTATTCAATGATTTTGTAACATTTTTACTGCCACATAGAAAACACACCAAGGGGAATATTCTAGCCGAATAATAGGGCTTTTCGATTGGCGATACACAACTTCAAAAATCATTTACGAAGACTCGCTGAAAGAGCTCATAGATAGGATCTTCCATAGAAGTTCTAACTTAAGATTCATTAGGCTTTTCATTGTTAATAGCCTCTTCGTCAATATCCTCCTCTTCGTTAATATCCTCCTCTTCATTTATATCCTCCTCTTCACTTATACTTTGCTCATTTATATTCTCCTCTTCGTCATTTATATCATTTATATCCTCCTCTTCATTATTTATATCATTTATATCCTCCTTTTCGTCACTAACATCTATGCTTTCTATGTAATGTTTAGATCTGGTAATTGTAGTAGCATTATTGCTTGGTAGGTCGTCACTTAATTGGTCGTCGCTTTGTCGATCGTCACTTGGCTGGTCGTCATTATGGTCATCACTTTGGTGATCATTATTTTCATCTTCAATTTCGGCAGAATTGATTGATTTGGTAGATGCAAGATCATAGGTGTTATGAAACGATATTCTGCATGTGAATAAAATAGTATCAAGGAAGGATTCTAACAACTTTCATTCTTTTAATTGTAATTTTTTTGCGCTAAATAACAGACGTGGTTTCTCACACTCAGAACAAACAACAGTTATTCCAACATTTTTCGCACGTATAGAAGAAGGACTAAATGGCATAGTATATTTCATAGCAGCTTTCATTTTACCTGACTTGGTGTTTCGTAATTTAGCATCTCTTAGTGAGAGCCTATATTCCTCTGTTGTGGTGGTGCCATATAATTCTTCGAATGATTTATAATGAAGGTCTTCACCGGGAGTTGGATCGGGAATGTAATGAAGTTGATCAAATTCTTCCTGAGAACATCGAAGTGGTAAGCAAGTCATATATTTTTCATTTCCACACTTCTTAATAGTAAAAGAATAATGTCTTACCCTACAACAGTGTTCCATGAACTCCTTCAGCCGTGGCTACAAGAAGACAAATGTTATTATTAATAACACTGTGCTGTGACTAATGATAAAAATTGGGATGTTTATTTGAGAATATTATATAGTTATTACATACTTCGTATGCAATAACTGCTATATTTTATGTTCTCTTCTGATCGTTCAGTAACCCCAGCCGTACCGGCTAGGTTATCAACTAATCATCATCGTCCATAAAATACAGCAGTTAGTGCTTATGGAGCATGCAATAACGGTTTTATTTTATGATTTACTATCTCAGACTTACGAAATAGTTCAATTATTTTATCATATAAAAATACCATAAAATAATTGATTTATTTTATAAACTGATCATAGTAAAGCATTATATAAAAAATAATATTAAACCCAATATGAGTGCTGTCAAGAGAAACCTGCCATTGGGTTTCAAGTTTATTACTTACCGGACTCATTCTATTGATTTTGCATCTGGTAACTTATAAAATAGAACCCCAATGACAGATTTTCTCTTAGTGGCATATAACAGAAAAAAAAAAGAAAAAAAAAGGGAAAAAAGAATCAATTTCATATTAAAATAATCTCAATTTTTAACATCAGTCAATTTCAGTATCAACCGCTACATATGTGAACTCAAAAAATATTTTTCTTACTCTTTTTGCAATGCTTTCTGTTGAGCGATCTTGTTGAGACACATCTTCGTCAATTAGATGAATCGTTTCCCACAATTCTATAATCTCATTTTCAGTAGCCGCATCAAAGGTTTTAAAAGGTATTTCCTTCAAAGATTGACGCTCAAAAATGCTGCGAATTAGGCAAATCGGTTGCTAGACACTTTCAGTAAACGCATCTTTCAAAGTAGGATTATTTTCTGAAATATGTCGAATGTCTTTCATTGTATTTGCCTTATTTATTAATTGTTCTAACCTATCATTCATTTTACTTCTCATCAAACCAATACATTAAAGACCGAGATTTAAGATGGACATTATGCGTTCTACAGGATTTTTTTATGAGTGTTGAGGTGGTGTTCTTACTGCAACTAAATAGTCTAGATCTAAAGCTAAAAATAAGCAAATGTATGACAATTGTACACTCGTAAATGTACAACGATGGTCTGGGCCACCATCTGTATAAAGACACAAGACAGGTTTATTAATAATATTTTTTTCAAGTAAGGTATTGTATAATTCAGCCGCATGGCGCATTGGTGAGGAAGGTTGAAAAATGGCATCTTTTAACCCAATATGACCATCTTCAGCATAAAAATCTCCATTAACTGACTCTGGGATATCGCATATCATTATGACGCTTGGTATTATTCCAGTTTTTGTATAATCATGATCACCAACCATAAATGTTGATTCTTTACTAACTACGACTTGTTTACCTCTTTCTATAGCAGCAACTGGATA